ATGACTTGTCGGAATTGAATATTGGCCTTTTGTCTAAGTTACTTTGCATATAGCTGACTTGGATATGAAGAGAAAAGGCAGTTTACCTTAGTCATCATTGCTGTGTCACATGACTTTCAGCAAAGTTCAGATGCAAACGAAGTCCCAGGGCTAGTCTGTCATTGCAGTGTGTACAGAATGGCCATTTTCTCCCTCCATGGGCAGAGGTGTGTCAGTTAGCAATTACATAACAAACCGCTGCAAAATGTGAGTTAAAACAGTGTTTTAATAATTTTTCAAAGATTCTGTGGGTTTCTGAGCGTTTCTTCTGCTGGTACCACCTGGGGCCACATGCAGCTACATCCATCTGATCGCAGAACAGGGGTGAGGGCGGGGTAGGCCAGAATAGCCTCATTGTGGCACTTAGTGCTGGCTATTGGCTAGGGTGCCTTGATTTGTCACTACATGGCCTCTCATTTTCCATAGGCTAGATTGAGCTCTTCACAGCATGGGGGAAGACCACATCTGGTCAAGATGTGAAGCCAGACCAGAACTTCTTCTGTGCTCCTTATACTCCACCACATTGCTCTTGCTTGTGTGTTTAAGAGGAAAATAATGTATGTAGACTAGTAACTCAGGCACGGAAAATTTATTTGGCAGAAGTCACAAAAAGTAGTGACTCTTCAGGTGGAGAGAGAAGATAGGGAATAAAAAGGGTTGGTTGTTTTCCCAACCTGTTTTAGATATTGGGTATTAATAGAATAATCGAGGTAGAGGTATAGTAAAGCCCAAAGATCAGGGGACAACAGACACTGGAAAGATAGTTTGTTACACACAGTTCCCAAGAGAAGGGGACCCACTATGCCACGGAGACCACAGAGGAAAGCACTAGCAGTGGTTGTAAGGCAGAGAGAAAGGGAGGAGGTGCAGACAAGAGCCGTTACTGTGGTTGCATGGGAAGTAACAGGCAAAGCCAGGTAAGCAGGGTTAGGATTGGCTGGTTTGAATAATTTTAGTGGTCTGCACGGCATACCTAATTGTCTGATATCTGGCGTTGGGGTGATTAGGGCATGTGAATAATGACCCTGAGCATGAGAGCTCCATAAAGGAGTATAGGCTCCGGATTGGTTTGTTCGTATTGGAAAAGTACACTCGTGAGAGAGTTGTTCACTATCTGTAAAATTCAGTTAACCCCGGAGGTGAAGTCCCTCCAGGGTCAGCAAGGCCCCAAATGTCAAAACATTAAAATACAGAACATAAAAAAACCTAGTGAATACACTTCCACTACTACTGTCGTGGGTTCTCTGTCCCTCTAATTTCTACCTTTACTCCCAAACCTAAAGAAATGACTGAGATGCCCAAAGGTAATCTGAACTCTCTAGAAAATAGTCAAGAACAAGGAAAGAAGCAATGACATCAAAAAAAAAAAATTTAAACCTAAGCAAATATCACCAAACTCAGTTTTATTTGATATAATTTTCCATAATATTTTATTTTTATATTTTATCCATAATAAACCACAGTTAAAACTATGGCTGGTTCCACTGCCTGCTAGGGGCTGGCGGTACATACCCTCCAGGGCCCCTGAATAGTTAATGGGGAGTGATTCTTTCCCCTTACAACTTTCATCCATCCTCAACCACAGTGTGATTGCATTTCAAACTTTGTACCTGAGACCAGTGGTTAATTAGGAACCATTTTATGGAAAAGCGGTTTAAGTTAGCTCTTCTGGACAGCAATCACCATCTAAAGCAAAGGCCCGCGTTAAATGACCCTGGGTACCAATGCTCCTTGGGCCCATTCAGTTTGGTGGCATGTCACTTTCAGCATTTTATTCTGTCTCTTACTATTTCCCACCTATCACATCGTTCCTTGAATCTTAGTCCAAACCATCATCCAGTTTCATGGGGATTACTGTATTAGCTTTATAGCTGTCCTCTTCACTACCATTGTGCCCCCCTCCAATTTGCTTGCCTTAAACTAGAGATCCTGGTAAAACGGATTCAGTCCTGTCTTTCATTTGCTTTAAAAGCCCTTAGAAGTTTCCCATTGACCTTAAGATTCAGTCCAAAATACTGAATCTTTTGTATTCAGTATGATCTGAATACTGTATGATCTAGTTCCTGCCTGCTTCTCCAAACTCATTTCACCCAATACTTCACTCTTTCTTTCTGATCCCTCCACTCCCCCAGCCTTTTGGTTACTCAAAAATAACAGACTCTTCCGCTCAGGGTCTTCATACAAACTAAAATTTGTGTGTTTTCTCCTTCACTGATTTTCTAGTGAAATTCTTAACTTCACGTCATTTCCTCAGAAGCCTCTGTTTTCTTTTCTTCTTTCTTTAAAAAAAGATTGATTTGTTTTAGAGGAAGAGAGTGAGCACATGTGAGTTGTGGGTGTGGGTAGAAGGGGAGGAAGAGAGAATCCTCAAGCAGACTCCCCACTGAGCGTGGAGCCCAACACACGGCTCAATCTCATGACCCTGAGATCATGACCTGAGTCAAAATCAAGAGCGGGGAGATGCTTAACTGACTGAACCACCCAGATGCCCTGAAGCTGTCTGTTTCCAAGCTTGTCTAGCCCCGAGGGCACCCTGAGCTTTGTTCCCTAGCTACAGCCTGCCCACCCCCTCCCCATCACAGTGCGTTTCAGGCACCTGCTCCCCACAGCCCTATCTACCTCACCACAGAAGCCTCCACAGATTAGCCCTTTACCAACCAGCTTCTCCATCCCTCAGACCATCCTAATACCAACTTCTTATGCATTTACATTTTGTTTTCAAGTTTTCTTCTTTTTCTCATCAGCGTTCTAGTCTCCAAATGTTCTTCTTGGACTTCTGTTTTTCCCTGGGTACCCATTCTGGGGTTACACAGAAAATGAATAATTTTTTGACGGACACATATATACAAAGAGTAAAAGGTTTGCACCCTGTCCTCATAAAGGGCAGGCTTTAAGAACTCTAATGCTTCCAGAAACCTTCAAACAACTGGAAAAGGAAGTTGATATATAAGTCCTATGGTCATACAGTCAGAAGGAAAAGGCTCTTGGATTCATGAAATGGCAAATTCCTTTAATTCTAGTCCCCAAGAAGAACTTAATAGAGGAGGAATAAAATTTTGCACGGGGAAGGGGGGTTACCGGTAACAAGTGCCTTCCCCCCCGCTTCTTTTTAATTAGGTTAACACAGAGCTTGTTTAAACAAACGTACAACAAAAAGCAAAAGTCAAATAATTCAAAATAAAGTACAAAAAATCACTTTAAAGGAGATCCATAGCAACACTTTATATGCCCATCCCTCCGATCCTAAATTCTCTTGAGTTCTATAACTGCTCCAGACTCTTTCCCATAATCGACATAATTTTTTCCCAGCACTTTGCACTGTGCAGCTTGACTTAACTTCTCAGGCTAAGTGCTCCCACCTTATTGCTTCAGTCCCCAGGTTTGCAGGGTGTCTCTTCCTTGGAGAGATTGGGGCGACAGAAGATTTGAGAAATAGGGGTAAGAAAATTTCAATCTCACTTTAATAAAGCCTGTCCTGATAAGTCCAAAATCACCCTTGGCTCAGCTCAGGTGATGCTTCTTTGGGGGAGGGAGTAGTTGGGAGGTTTGACTCATTTCCTCAGTCTCAGAACCAAAAATTAAACCCCAAGGTTTAAATTCAAACTCTGAAGTATCCTTCCCTCTTTCCTGTTTTTCATATTGCTTATATGCTATTTGGAGCAACAGTGACTTTATATACTAAAACTGAAATACAGTGTGTTAGTGTTCTGTGATATATATTAGTCAAAGGCTATTGGAGCTCTGAGAAGGGAGTAATTTATATTGCCCGTGGAATAAGGGAGGCTTCAAAAACCTGGGGTCCTTGAAGCTGCATTTTGGATATGTGGAAGTTCATGCAATCCTCAGGGAATAATATCTCCTCCAAAATTGAGTATGGAGTGAATGGAGAAGAGTAGCAGAAAAGGCAGGCCATTACAAAGGACCTTAAATTTCTTGCTAAGAAAATTGGAGTGATTAGTATAGGTAAACAAACAAACAAAACCAACCAGGAGAATCTCATTTATGCTTTTTAGATAACTTTTCAGCAGTGTGGAAGATAGACTTGAAAATCACAACTAAGGTTATGTTTGCTTTTTGGGTTTTTTCATACTTGACCCTGTGGGCCTATAGATATGGGTGTTATAAGAGCAGGTGAAAGGTAGAGGGGGAGTTTCTCAATGTGAGACTTCCTATTGTGGAATGACTTCAATATGTGGAAAGATGACAAAGGATTAAACTAGAATATTTCCATGGCAATAGAGGCAGGGATAGATGAGAAGATCTCAAGGATAACATGGGAAATGTTACTCCATGTCACCTGTATTTTATACTATTATGTCAGCTCAAATAGCACGTGTTAGGTGAGGATTTCTCATTCACCCTGGCAAACGGCACGTGGGGGCTGGTTCCTGAGCAACTGTTGCACTTAAGGCACAGGCTCATTTGTTTGACCACTAAACTACCAGCTTCTTTAAGGCAGGGATTATATCTTTCCATCTCTGTTTTCCTCACCTTCTAATGACTGCAAAAATGTGTGCTGGAGGGTTGCAGAATGAGTGGAAAATAGACATTCATAAATGGCTGAACATTACAAGCTATCTAATAGTTAAAGCACTAGCATTAAAGGTTCAGTGATATCAAGGGACTACACTGATTGCCATTCAACCTACCCTTTTGTGGTGACTTATTTCTAAATCTTAATTATTAAGCTGTAGAACTCCCCATCCCACAAATAGCCAAGAGTACCAGAAGCTGCAATACTAGCTCGAAAGTAACTTTTTTTTTTCTTAGCTGATTTTATAGAGCGGCTATGTGCTAGGGAACGTCAGAAGACGTTGGCCAAGACCCAGAACGTGGGAGGTATCTGTTTCCACATCATTTGATGAGGGCTACAAATACGGCTTCAGTCCGTAAGTCCCGACTACAAACCAATGTCACGGAACCAAATGGCCGACACACGAATTTCCCCACGGACGCGCGAGTGTGTTACGCGCATCTCTATTGCTTTTGCCTGGCGGATGCCGATCGGGGGAGGACCGAGCACCGAGAGGCCAAGGAAAGGAGGCGAGTCAAGGACTTCCTTCTGGGGAGGGAGCTTGGATTCGGGAGGCCGCGCTGGGCCTGTCGGACTAGGCGTCCGCGCGCGTGGGAGAGCTCAGTCATGTCTGTACATTCGGTGATGCGCACCCTGCGCAAGAACAAGACGCTTCGCTATGGAGTCCCCATGCTGGTGAGGGCCGGCAGGGAGAACGCGTGGGGCTGGATTCCGGAAGGGGTGGGGCGTCCGGCTCGGCGGGTCCCGGCGGCCCAGATCCGGGAGGCGGCGGGGGGCGGGGAGCCGCAGCCTGGGCGGGGAAGAGGCTGGCGGCAGGTGGCAGTCCTAGTCCTCTCCCTTCGCTCGTACCACGATCTGGAGTCCCCCTTTTACCCTCCCTAGTAGTCACCAGGGTGTGCTTCAGGGAGCGAGGTCAGAACCAGATTTTGCCCCAGGTCTGGGTGATTACTGAACTGACATTGTTAACCCCCTGCTACACCTGGACGGTGGTGTGGCTCGTTGGAACCAGGTGTATTTACTTAACTTGACTGTACAGTTTCGGGCCTCTCCACGTTTCAGCTTCCTGGTTTGTGAACTGGTTTAATTCTTCCCGGGTTGTTGGTAGGAGTTCAGTAAAACCTTGTGAAAACTGAATGTTTAGCACGGTGCCTGCCACATTGTAGGACCTTTCAAAAGGTCGCTGACGTGCAGTTGATCATTTTGAAGCACGTTGAGTGTAGTTTTGGTGTTTATGTGTTTGCGTCCTGTCCTACACTGAGTTCCCCGAGGATCTCATTCGTCTAGAAGGTACAGGTTGAGGTTGACCTAACACCAGCCAGAGCTGGAATCCAGCCAGATAACTCTCTGTCCCCCATCCCCCCGCGCCCTTTTTTGTTGTTGTTGCTTCACCTTGGCAAGTTATTTTGCTTCAGCAAGCCTTGATGTGATAGTAAATGAGGCAATTTCAATAAAACGTGTGGACAAAAGCCACTTTCTTTTAAATCCTGTTTAATTCTTTGTACGGATATTGGTAAGATGAAGTTACCAACTTTCACATTTAAGCAGAACTAAAGGAGAGAAGTGACCTTTAAAAAGTTTAAAGAGGGGCGCCTGGGTGACTCAGTGGGTTAAAGCCTCTGCCTTAGGCTCAGGTCATGATCTCAGGGTCCTGGGATCAGCCCTGCATCGGGCTCTCTGCTCAGCGGGGAGCCTGCTTCCTCCTCTATCTCTCTGCCTGCTTCTCTGCCTACTTGTGATCTCTGTCAAATAAATAAATAAAATCTTTTAAAAAAATGTTTAAAGAAAACTATCTTAAAAGATAATGCAGTAATTATATTTGTGTAAATGACAGGGCATGTGTAAAAACTATCCTCCCTCTAGGTTCCTCTGCCCCCAAATGGAGATCCATTCAGAAGCATTGTGGTCGTGGTCACTAACTTGTGGTCACCTGCATGTCCCAGGGAAGGCCAACTTGATTTTGTTTCTTATTTTTCAAAATCACAAGCCACGGTATTAAAACCACTAGAGTTGAAGTACCTTCTAGGAGTTTAGGGGTTTCCACTTGTATTTTATTTCAGGGAATGGAAAGTACCACAGTAGCCTTTTCCCCAAATGTGATACCCTGTACTGGTCTCTACATCTATACCAGACCTAGAGAACCATGTTTCAAAATATGAGTCCTAAACATATTAATAAATTGAAGAGGAGAATGTTGAATTCAGTACTCTGAAACCAAACAGTACTGGAAAGAACTCAAAAGATACATCCTCTTCATCATGTAACAGTTGCATATGCCATAATTACTATACTACATTTATCTTCAAGCTGAAATTATTTCCTCTCTTGGATAAATATTAATGCTTCATAGGACATACAGAAGAGGACTTTGAACACCAGGTATATATGCAAATACAACTCTCCTTCCCTCCGTGTCCAAACTACTTGAAGAAAGAGAATATACTTGTTTCAGCTTCCACACTACCCATTTAGTCAGGATTTACCTTTCTAATTTGACCAGTGACCTACTAGTTCCTACACACCAAAAAATTAGCCCATTTTAAGTGCTCGGTTCAGTGTTTCTACTATATTCACAGAGTTACGCAACTACCACCACTGTCTAACTTCAGAATAATTTCATCAGGGACACCATGCTCATTAGTAGTCACTTCCTGTTTTCTCCTCTCTCCCCCCAACGTAGGCAACCACTAATCTACTTCTGTCTATAGATTTATTTTATTTATTTATTTATTTTAAAGATTTTATTTATTTATTTGACAGAGAGAGATCACAAGCAGGCAGAGAGGCAGGCAGAGTGAGAGGGGAGAAGCAGGCTCACCGCTGAGCAGAGAGCTCGATGTGGAGCTTGATCTCAGGACCCTGGGATCATGACCTGAGCCGAAGGCAGAGGCTTTAACCCACTGAGCCACCCAGGCGCCCCTGTCTATACATTTAATAGTGTAATATGACATGTGGTCTTTTGTGACTGACTTCTTTCAATTAGCATAGTGTTTTCAAGATTCATTCACGTTATAACACGTATCAAAACTTCATTCCTTTTTATGGCTAAATAATGTTCCAACATTTGGCTAGAAAATTTTTTAATCCTAATCCTGTCCTATTTATTTATCATTTTATTTATCCATTGATGAACATTTAGATTGTTTCCAGTTTTTGGCCCTTGTGAATCATGCTGCTACGAACATTCATGTACAAGTTTCTGTATGGATGTACCTATGTTTTCTTTTCTCTTAGTTATCTCCCCAGTGATAGAATGGCTGGGTTATCTGGTACTCCATTTTGAGGAACTGTCAAGCTATTGCCTGGAGTGGCTACATCATTTAACATTCCCACCAGCAATGAATCCTCCGTGTCCTTGCCAACACTTGCTAATGTCCATCTTTTTTGTTACACTCTTCTCAGTGTACGTGAAGGTATCTTATTGTGGTATGGATTTGCATTTACCTCATGACTAATGATACGGCGCATCCTTTCATATGGCTATTGGTCATCTGTATCTCTTTGAAGAAATGTTTATTCATATCATTTGCCCACTCTAAATCGGGTTATTTTTCTTTTTATTGGGTAGAGGTTTCCTTAAACACCTGGAACCAGTACGTCTTTTTTGAGGGCCTCTGTGCGCTTGTTTTGGTGTGTCTTCAACACTCAGCCAGGCAGGTTATAACTCTGCCTTGAGCTTTTACTTCCCATTTGCTCAGAGACTCAAGGTTAGCCACAGGCAAATGTTTAAGGCCTTCTCAGATCTTTCCTGAGCTTACACAATTCTGGGCATGGGCACAATTCTGTTCATGAGCATTTCCTTCTAGATTCTCAGGAATACATTAGAACTTTTCAGAGTCCTCTGTGGACACCTTATTTCTCATATTTTCCTTTGAAGCTTTTTGTTTAGACTGTTATTTGCCCTTTTGCCTACCATCTCAGGCAGTCACAATGTTAAACAATTGCCTCTGAATTTTTTCAACAAACAGTTCTTGGGAGAAGTCTCTTAGTACTAGTTGAGCTCCAAGTCAGGAAAACTGAAGCAAGCCTTGTGACTGTGATTTCCACTGAACCACCAGATTTGGTCAAGCAGTGACAGTTCTCAGAGAGTAAGATTTTAAGGAGCCCCAACCCTGTGCTGCCCCTTTAGAGGTTACTGCTTTGTATCATGATGCGTTCTATTTGTTCTCATGGGTACCGTGGAGCTGGGGCAGGGAGGTGGGAATAAAAATGCCACCAAGCTTTCTGTTCTTACTGAAAGGTAGTTTCCTTCTTAAGAAGATGTTCCCAACATTACTGCAAGTCTTTGCTTAATTTTCAAATTTCTAAAAAAGTTGCTTTGACAACTTTTGCCAGTTTTCTCATTGCTTTGATGGAGAAGATTTTTGGAGGTTCTTAGTCTGCCATTTCACTTGACGTTATCTTTTGGTTCTTTTTTTTTCTGTCTTTGGTGAGATTTTCTAATTTTTCATTTGTTTTAAGAACATCTGTTACTGCTCTCTGAAGCATTTTTATAATGATTCCTTTAAAAATTTTTGTTAGGTCATGGGGTGTCTGGGTGGCTTAGTCAGTTAAGTGTCCAACTCGTGGTTTGGGCCCAAGTCATGATCTCAGGGTCCTGAGATCCAGCCGGCATGGACATGGGGCTCCCTGCTCAGCGGGGAGTCTGCTTCTCCCACTCCCTCTGCCCCTTCCCCACAGGTGCAGGTGCAGTGGGCGCTTTCTGTCTCTCTCTCTCAAATAATAAATAAATCTTAAAAATAGATAAATAAAATCTTTGTCAGATCATTCCAACATCTGGTTTATCTCCATATTAATATCTCTTGATAGTCTTTTCTAATTCAACTTGCTGTTTTCCTGATTCTTGCTATGACAAATGAGTTTTTATTGTATCGTGGACATTCTGAATATTATGTTAGGAAACTCTGTATCCTATTTAAGTCTTCTACTTTAGCAAGCAGTCACCATGCTTAGACTTAGCTTGTAGGTAATAGCATACTATTTTGGGCTTTCATTCCAATAATAATTTAGGCTCCAGAATCCTTGCAGTGCTATTCTGGTATGCTTTGTTTGTTTACTTGGTTCTGCTTTGTTCCCCTGGTGCCTGCTTGATCCCTTCTAAAGGTGGAGTGTTAGTAATCAACATGTGAATATTTTTAAAGTTACAGGATTGATTGAGATCACAAAAGAAATTAATGTAGAGAAGACCAGTCATTGTGCCCTGGGGTACTCCCAACATTAGGGGTTGAGGGTATAGGAAGAACCAATAAAGACACTAAGAAGTATTCTCAGGTAAAAGAAAAACCAGGTGTAAGGGGGAAAGGAGTAAAGTGATCAACTGTGTCAGATGATGCTCATGAATAAGATGAGAACAGAGAGTTAACCATTGGATTTGGAAATGTGGATGTCTTTTGTGGTTGGAATGGGTCTAAGAGAGTGGGAGGGACAGTGAGCTTCAACAACTCCTTCGAGAAATTTTACTGCATATAGGAACAAGGAGAGAGGACAGTAATGTTAGGAAGTGAGGTCTAGAGAAGTTTGTTAATAAGTGGGAGAAATAATAGCATTTTTTATGAGGACTCATGTGGTAGTGAGCAAGATTTTCATGATTTAGGAAATGAGAGAATTGATGAGTCTGGTTCCTTCAATAGATAAGATAATACGGGATCTATTGCACAAATGAAGATACTTAGTTAGGAGTGTAGATACTGTGGTAATGAGTGGTAGGTGGTACAGTTCTGGCCCTAATCAGAAATAGCACAGATTTCACAGAGTAAGGGAATAGTCCTTCATGAAACCCTCCTTATTTGAGACACCAGCTGAAAGCTCTGGCATTCTTAGACCACCTGTGCTTCTGATACAACCGATTATAAATTCATGGGTTCCTGTTAACCCCCTCAAGTTCAGTAATTCACTAGAATGACTCACAGAACTCAGGAAAGCACTATACTTACAATTATAGGTTTATTATAAAGGGTATAAATTAGGACTAGCCAAAAGAAGAGACCACAGGGTAAGGTCTGCAAAGTCCCAAAAACAGAGTTTCCATTTTTCCTCCCGTGAAATCAGGGTGTGCCGCCCTCCCCGCACATGGATGTGTTCACCAGCCAGTAAGCTCAACCAAGCTTCAGTGTCCAGAGGTTTTCAATTGGGGTTTTATTATTTAGGTGTGGTTAATTGAATCATTAACAATGTGAGGGAACTCGGTGTCCAGCCCCATCTCCTTGGGGGTCAGGTTGATATCATAGGGCTTAAAGCCCCATCCCTCTAGTCACATGGTTGGTCATTCCAGCATGGCCTGACTGTATACTGTAACTATCTAGGGGCCTGCCCTGAGTCACCTCATTAGCAAAAACTCAGGTGTGGTCCTAGGGGCCCCCCACCAATAACAAAGATACTCCTGTCACTCAGGAAAGTCCCAGGTAGTACTTTCTGCCCAGGAACCCAAGACAAAGATCAGACAAATTCTTCATTATGTAACATGTGGGTACTATGATTGTAGAAGTTCCAGAAAGAGATAATGGATGCCTGGACTAGAATGTTAGAAGAAGGTATAGTCAGAAATTGTCAGATGCCGGAAATATTTTAAAAGTAGAGGTGATGGGGTGCCTGGGTGGCTCAGATGGTTAGGCATCTGCCTTTGGCTCGGGTCATGATCCCAGGGTCCTGGGATTGAGACCCACATTGTGCTCCCTGCTTGGCAGGGAGTCTGCTTCTTCCCCTCTCTCCCCCTGTACCCCCTGCTTGTGCTTTCTCACTCTCTCTGTCAAATGAATAAATAAAATCTTAAAAAAAAAAAAAGAGGTGACAGAACTCAGGGATGGATTAGTTGTGAGATACAAATGAAAGGAGCTTATGATGATTACGAAGAAGTTTGCTTGAGCTGTTGGATGAAAGCTGTTGACATTTACTGGAAAGAGTGTTGGGGTAAGAGTCAAGACAGTTTTTTTAAATGTTAATTTATTATATCTGCTAGACTTTTTTTTTTTTTTTTTTAAGATTTTATTTCTCTGAGAGCATGTGGAGGAGGGGCAGAGAGGAGAGAGGGTGAAGCAGACCTCCCCCCATGGCGGCCCAATGTGGGCAGATTCCAGGACCTGGAGTTCATAACCTGAGCTGAAGTCAGATGTGTAACCAGCTGGGCCACCCAGGTGCCCCAGGTGTCTGTTAGACTTTCAAGTGGAAATGTCAAATAGGAAGGCAATGGGATGCTTCCCATTGAAAGCATGCATTTGGAGGTTGTTAGGTTATAGAGCCCATTTAAAGCCATGAAATTGGATGACATCAGCTATGGACTCAGTTTTGATTATGAATAGTTAGAAGAAATGTGAAAATTGGAGCCTTTTGGGATACTCCCAACATTTTGAGGCTGGGAAGATGAGGAAGAATGAAAAAAAGGAGACTGAGACAGAGTTACGAAAGCCAGGGATGTGTCTCTTAATTGAAACACAAAGACAAGAGTTATTTTACTTATACAGGTAATTCTTACGTATTGACATTGCCAGATATTTTTCCTGCTTTGTTGTCTCTTGATTTTGCTTTGTTATTATTTCATTTATTTGTCAGGATAGACATTTAAAATTTTTATGTGGTCAGACTTATTGGGTTTTAAAATTCATAACCTAAAGGCTTTGTTAGTATTTCAACTTTAAAATTGTAAAGTTTTGTATTTTACAGTGTTTTATATCTTTTATTTCTTTATTTGGTGATACTAGTATATTGGCATAAAAAGGAAGGTAGTGATCAAACTTTATTTTTATCCAAATTGCTAGACTATTACAGCTTTAGGATTAGGGGTGAAAGCCCATTAGATAATTGCTGTTTTATCATCAGCAATGACAGCTGGAGGGATCTTGTAAGGTTTGCCCTGTATTGAGAAGTGTGGTATATTTTATGCGATTCTTTTATTAGTTGCTAAGAAAATGGAGAAAAATGCTGTCTAGTTAGCTTATTTTGCAAACACAGAAAATTGAAAGAATTCTGGTCTTGAAGAAATGAGGCCAGAATTTAATTCCTAGCTTTACTCAGTATGATCATAGGCAAGTCATTTAGTTGCCTGTCCTTTTATTTCCCCATCTTTTAAATGGATTTTTTCTTAGCTTTAGTTCTTTTATAAGATCAACTAATACAATGCTTGTGATGATGTTATTTAAACCATAAGGTGTAATACAAGTATGAGGGGGCACCTGGGTGGGTCAGTTGGTTAAGTGTCCAACTCTTGGCTTCTGCTCGGGTCATCAAGTATCACATTGGGCTCTACACTCAGCGCTCAGCACAGAGTCTGTTTGTCTCTCTCCCCCACCTCAAATAAACAAATAAAATCTTTAAAAATGAACAACAACAACAACAAAAAAACAAATAATGGGGTACTGACTTATCTTATCACTTTGGTGATAAGATAAAATGTTTCCTAGTGACAGTACATACTGCATCTACTCTGAACGGATGAATGGTAGCTCACCAAGAAGATAATTTATTGGGTTTCATATAAACTGCCACTGTTGACATTAGTCTGTAGATAGACTGAATTCTGCCCTTCTGTTTTAACTGTTTCCTTTCTTTGTTTCAGTTGCTGATTGTTGGAGGTTCTTTTGGTCTTCGTGAGTTTTCACAAATCCGCTATGATGCTGTGAAAATTAAAGTAAGGACTGTAATTGGAGTTTAACATGTGTCTGTGTATATGATTGTTCAGGTTTAGATGTATTTACTTAGTGTACTAAGCAGTGTGAGTTTTGTCTAATTTTTCAAGGGGTCGTGTGATCTTTGGGCTCTTTCTTACTCTTTAAGACAATATGAGTGATCATATGGAAATGAATCATGAAGTATAAAGAATTTAGTTATCTTACGCATAGAAAATTTGCAATACTGCATTCTCCAATGAAATATATTCAGTAGAGTTGTTTTTAGAATTTAAAAGGGGCTGGAGAATGTTGGACAATTTCACTCCCATTATATTACTCTAATTACAAATTAGCTGTTTTATATTAATACCAGTAATTTTATAAATTATATTGATATATAAAGTATACTGATAAACTGAAGGAAAGGAAAATTATTTTTCATTACAAATAATGATACTTATCTTTTTTAGGTATATATTTATATGTTATATATGAAACTATACATATAAATATATGTGAAATTTATTTCACAGGTGAGGAAACTGAGGCTCAGAGAGCTTCAGTAACTTAGCTATGGATACATGGCTATTTAGAGGTAGTGCTAGGATTTTCACCCTCTTTGATTTACAATCACAAACAAATTTAGGCCAGGTGTTACATAAGAACTCTAGTTAAGTAACTCTGATTAATTCATTCAGAAGTATGTAGTTTTTTGGGGCACCTGGGTGGCTCGGTTGGGCGACTGTCTTCGCCTCAGGTCATGATCCTGGAGTCCTGGGATCGAATCCCACATCAGGCTCTCTGCTCTCCAGGGAATCTGCTTCTCCTGCTGACCTCTCTCCTCTCATGTTCTCTCTCTCTCTCAAATAAATAAATAAAATCTTAAAAAAAAAAAAAAAAGTATGTAGTTTTTGTTTGTGGCCACATCTGATATTTCAGTTTTTTCCCCAAGTTTTGTATATGTAAAGCATATATACATATGTATAATTTCCTATGTACATATATATAATATTTATATACACAAATTTTTCTACCAATATTATTGAGATCTGCTAGTGAAATATATATTATATAATGTATATTAATTATATTAGTTAATAATTATTAGTAGGAAAGTAAAGTGTATTAAAGACCCATTCAATTTTCTCAGTTAATTTTATAGTTTAAGAGAAACACCAACTTCAACTAGTCTTAAAGACAGTAAGTATTAGGGTAAATATTAAATTTAAAAAGAATGTATAATACATATAATGTTCCGTGATATCATGTTTTTATTTACTTTTTCCTTTAGTATCTTGAACATATATGTTACTTTAAAGTCCTATCTCCAACGTACATCAACTATAGATCTGCTTTAGTGTCTAGTTTTTTTCTCTTGTTGGTTTTGTGGGTAAATGTTCTGTCTTTGAACATACCTTGTAATTTTAATTTTGTTATTTTTATTTTAAGATTTTATTTATTTATTTGAGAGAGAGAATGAGAGAGAAAGAGAGAAAGTGAGAGAGAGAGCATAAGTGGGAAGGGCAGAGGGAGAGTAGAGAAGCAGACTCCGTGCTGAGCAAGGAGCCCAGTGCGGGACTCGATCCCAGGACCCTGGGATCATGACCTGAGCCGAAGGCAGAAGCTTAACCGACTGAGCCACCCAGGCACCCTGACCCTGTAATTTTTTAACTGAATTTTGGATCTTGGATAGCTTGGGGGACAATTCCCTTCCTGCTCTGGAGGAGTGAGTGTTGAAGTTGATCACTGCTCCAGTGTCTGTTGGCCACTTATATTTCCTTTTTTGTGTGTCCTCTGTTGTGATGTTTTAGGTCTCGGTTGCCCATTTTTTCTGTGGATTGTTGGTCTTTTTCTTATTGTTCTGTAAGATTTCTTTATACATGGCAGATTATAAACCTTTTCGTCATCTTAATGGTGTCGTTTGATGAACAAGTTTAGTGTAGTCTGTTATTCCTTTTTTACTCAGAGTTACTTTTTCTTTTTGTCCTTTTAAGAAGTTTTTCTTATGCCAAAATAAAAATATTTTTCAATATGATTGCTAAAATTTTTGTTTGGCCTTCTATACTCAGATCTGCAACTATAAAACCCAAATGTAATTGATTTTTGTACACAGTGTGAGGAACTGTGATATTCTGATTTATAAGAGATAGGTATTTGGTCTTTGCCCTATTTTCTGGCGTTGAACTAAAATCCCTGGAATTTCCTAAGTGTTGAGAGCAAGCAAGGTGTCTTTTGTTGTGTGAGTGATTTATGGAATGCCCCTGGGTAACCTAAAGATGGTGGTTGGTTGCTAGGAGAGCCAGCCTTGTGAGACAGGGTTGGAACTTTCAGTCCCACCTCTTGACTTCCAGGGAGGGGAGTAGGGCTAGAGGTTGAATCAGTTGCCAATGGCAAGGACTTAATCAGTCATCCCCATGTAATGAAGCACGAATAAAACCAAAAAGATAAGATTCAGACAAATTCCTGGCTGGGGAACTTGTAGAAGTGCTGGGAGAGTAGCCCCCTTAGAAAGGACATGCAGGGGCGCCCAGGGTGGCTCAGTGGGTTAAGCCTCTGCTTTCGGCTCAGGTCATGATCTCAAGGTCCTGGGATCGAGTCCTGCATCGGGCTCTCTGCTCAGCGGGGAGCCTGCTTCCTCCTCTCTCTCTGCCTGCCTCTCTGCCTACTTGAGATCTCTCTCTGTCAAATGAATAAATAAAATCTTAAAAAAAAAAAAAGAAAGAAAGGACATGTGATCTCCACACCCTTCCCTTGTACTTTGCCTGTGTGTCTTTTCCATCTGGTCTTTTATAAATAAAATGTTTCAGCTCTGTGAGTTGCTCAGGGAGGGATTGTTGGAACCTCCAGTCTATAGACAGTCAAGTACAGGTGACATCCTGGATTTGCAGTTGGTGTGTGAAGTGGGGAAGGAGGCTATCTTAGATGACTGAGCCCCTAACCTGTGGGACCTGACTCTTATCTCCAGGTAGGTAGTGTCAGAATTGAGTTAATTGCTTGGTGGTTTGGAAAACAACCCCACACACATTAGAGGAATTATAACGGAACTAGCTGTAACTCAACTAATCTGAGTTTGTTTGCTCCTTGGTGAGTTCAGATAGAGATTACAACAGCTAATCTATAGGAATTACAGCAGGCGGAGTTGTTACACAAAGGAAACTTGATTTGCAGCAAACAAGAAGAAGATCATGGAAATAACTTCCAAATCCATGACTACCCAAACAGGGGTGAGAGAGTTCTTTTTATTTAAGATTAGGATGGATATTCAGAAAGGGGAGCTTTGTCATCACATGTAAAGGCAGGAATAAGGTTGTGCAGACATAGTATCTTATGAAACCTGTGCTCCTCACAGGGCAAAGACTTTAATACTGTACTGAAGCATAGTAACTGTTGGACAAAGGAAAGGGGCTATGGACATGATCCACAAGCTAGTATAAACTGGATGGGATCTTTCTTTCTTTCTTTCTTTTTTTTTTTTTTTTTTTTAGGATTTTATTTATTTATGACTGAGAGATAGCGAGAGAGGGAGAAACAGGTTTCCCCTGAGCAGGGAGCCTGATATGGGGCTCCATCCCAAGACACTGGGATCATGACCTTAGCTAAAGGCAGACTCTTAAATGACTGAACCACCCAAGTGCTGAGCTGGATGGGATCTTGGGCTGGTTTTCTCAGGTAAGGTCTGCCAGGGCCTGCTTGTTCATAGACTGGAACCTTATCAGTTGACCCATGGCCAGTGTATTTCTTAGTGGGGTCTGAAAAGAAACAGTAGCTGACTACAGAGAAACAGTTCTGAAAAACAAGCTTTAAATTTTCTGCTAGTTTCAATCCTGCAAAGACAACTCAAGAATGTGCTAGGTCAATATTTACTTTTGAAATAGCACTAGGAGTTTTACCATTGATTTTTTTGTTTCTGATATGGTTAGGCTATCTACTGGCCTATTAGAGACTTAGTTTTTACATTCCCATTGTTCCCTTAAAATTCTTAACTGCTGTTTTGTTTTTTGTTTTTTCTTTTTCTTTTTCTTTTCTTTGTAATTCTAACACCCCCTAGGCAGTTCTGCAAAGAAGTGTGCTTGGGCAAATAGAGTTGGTAAGGCATACATCCACGGGGTGGGGGAATAGTGGCAGGGGATAGCTGGGGACCTGAAATGTCTGGGTCTTTCTTTTTCTGGGGATCCCTAACTCTGCTTATAGAATGTTTCCCCTAATATAGACAATAAGTTGTCCAAGCACCATTTACTGACATAACATTTTCCTTCCTGCTCTTCTGTGTCTGTTTTGTTGTCTGTTCTGTTGCATTAATTTATTTACAAATTACATTGTGGTTTTCAAATTAATTGTGCATTCCTGAGAAATGAACTCACCTTGATTATTGGTATACTGTCTTTTTGGTATGTTGCTGTCTTTTGTAGTATGTTCTTCAGGAATTCTGCATTAGTGAAGTTGGCCTGTTTTCTTACTATCTTTTTCAAATTTTGACATCAAACTTGTGCTCACCACATAACTAGAAGGTTTTTTGTTACACTGGCATTATTTCTTCTTTAGTAGAATCCACTGGTAAAGCCACCTGAACCTGGGGTTTTCTTTACATAAGATTTTAAAGTTCAGATTCATCTCTTTATACATCATAACACTGTTCAAATAGTTTATTTTTTCTATTACATGTTAGAAAGTTGTAGTTTTCTATGAATTTGTCCATTTTGTCTAATTTTTCAAGTTTGTGGGCCTAAAAGTATTCATATTATCCGAGTATCTGTTGCCCATAAAATTTATATTGTTGACGTCCTTTTCATTCTGAATACTCATATTTGTGACTTCTCTTTCTTCTAAGTCGATTTTACTTGAGATTTATCGATAACTTTTGGTTAAGTTTATTCTCCTGTCATGCATTTGTTTGATCTTTAATTAGCTCTGTTCTCTGTTTACTTTTTCCTTTTTCTTTTTTCTAACTTTATGAGGTAGATTCTTAGCTCTTTTCCTGTCCATCTTTTTTTTTTTTTTTGTAATTTTTTAAAAGAATTTTATTTATTTATTTGACAGAGAGCATAAGCAGAGGGAGCAGCAGGCAGAGGGAGAGGGAGAAGCGGGCTCCCCACTGAATAGAAAGCCCGATGTGGGACTTGGTCCCAGGACCCTGGGATCATGACCTGAGTCAAACGCAGCTGTTTAATTGACTGAGGCACTCAGGCATCCTCTTTTTTTTGTAATATATGCTTATAAGCTGACGAATTTCCTTTTAAACATGGGCCTAGCATGTCATGCAAGTTTAATATATAATATGTCCACAATTGTTTAATTAAAAATGTTTTCAGTTATTCAGAAGCTACTTAGAAGTGTTTTTCCTTAATTTATAAGTATAGGGGATTTTCTAATTATTTTTTATTGATTTCTAACTTAGATGCATTGTCATCAAAGAATATTTTCAATGAGCTCATTCTTTGATATTTGTTGAGACTTACTTTATGACACAGCATATGATCAGTTTATATATAATGTGCGCTTGAAAAAATGTACGTCTGGCAATGTTGGGTACATATTAAAATTTACACATCCATTTATACATTCATTTGGTCAAGTTTGTAGGGTTTTCTCAAATTTTATGTAGGGTTGACTTTTTAAATCTGTTTTTTCTATCTGCTATTGAGAAAATTGTGCTGACATCTCTATTATGACTCCCATTTCACCATGATATTAGGCACACATAATTTCAGAGTTAGTACATCTTCATGGCTGAGTTTTTAGTATAATGAAGTTTTCCTTAAAAAAAAAAAAAAATTCAGGGTGCCTGGGTAGCTTAGATGGTTAGGTGTCTGCCTTCGGCTCAGGTCATGATCCTGGGGTCCTGGGATCAAGTCCTGCATGGGGCTTCCTGCTCCTTGGGGCACCTGCTTCTCCCTCTGCCTCTCTCTCTCTCATGAATAAATAAATAAAATCTTTTAATATTTCAAATAAATATCAGTAAATTTAAAGATCAGGTTGATTTTATTCATTGATTCCTGCATCTAGCAAAAGGAAAGAGCTCTGAAGAGCTGTATAAAATAGGAGACTTTTAAAGACCGAACTGAGCAGGGACAAGGAAAGAGCATGTTATTTCATCTTTCTTTGGGGGACAGACGGGGACAGTCAGGCAGTTTACCTCACTCCTCTGACCAGGAAGTTCCAGACTGACTGGTTAAGATTACATTCCTGAGAGAGAGTGGAACTTGGGTTAGATATTGAGTGTCAGTTTGGTGACATGCTTAGCAGAAGTGACTCCATTTTGGACCTGTTACCTTTTTCTTAACTTTGCTTGCTAATAACGCTTCTTTCCTTAAAGGCTGTTTTGTTGGATGTTAATATGACTTCTTTAGCTTCCTTTTTAAGCTTAACCTTTCTATATACTTAGGTTTTAAATATTTCTCTTATAAACAGAATATATGTTTTTAATAGTCTTGTGTTTTAATTGGATCATTAAATCCATTTGCATTTAATGTAAATTTTTATATATTTGGGTTTAAATATACTTCTTATGTGCTGTTTGTTACAGTTATTTCTTTCTGACTTTTTTGTGGTCCTCTTTTGGATTAATAATGTTTTATTAATTTGTTATTGTTCTTTTGGTTAGAAAGCTGTATTTTTATTCTTCCACTGAAGGTTACTCTAGAGATTATTGCAGGTTTTAGTTTTTGTTTTTTTCCTTCTACTGTTTGGTGTTGAGGGGGAGCAGGATATGCTGTCCCAAAATGTACCATTTTGACATGTGGATTATTTTGAGCTGAAAACCTAGCAGACTATGGAAAGGACTTTTATCTCTCCTTTAACTGCCTAAAACAACTTAGATGGAGGGCCTGTACCAAGAAGAGACCTATTACCAGGGATAACTTTTTATATCAGAAAGACTTACCTGCATGGCATAGTGGACATTTGTTTACCAAACATTTGCTTTTTATCTTCCTGTGAATTGTCTTCCTCCCCTTTTAAACACTAGCTTCCTACCTCATTTTCCTTAGCTCAGAATGATATTTAATTGCCTGACTCAATTTCCTGGCTACCTGTGAGTCTCATGTCTTTGTGGGCCTCCTGTACATATATAATTAAATTTGTTTTTCTCCTGTTCATGTGTTTTATGTCAATTAATCATTAGGCCAGCCTCACCTTCCCAGCCATTCCATATATAACATTTTTTTCCCCCTTATATAACTTTTTAAATTCAAAATAGAATCTAACAGACTTAAATAACTTATGGCTCCTCTTTCTTTTCTGCAGATTGATCCTGAATTAGAAAAAAAACTGAAAATGAATAAAATATCATTGGAATCCGAGTATGAGGTACATATGTTAATATATGTTATATGTTAATATAATCTCTCTTTTGTAGCAGTTAATATAATATAATATATAATGTTAATATAATCTCTCTTTTGTAGCAGTTTTCCTAGCCAGTGACTGATTCTATCTTAAATTATTACCAGTGCAGAAAAAAATGACCCCAAACAGTATAGTATTAGGACAACTATGTAATCATTTGATAAGAAAAAGAAAATATGATGGATCTATATTTCACGTGTTAAAATGAATAAATTCTAGGTAGAACAAAAATTTAAAAATAAAAAAAGTGCTAAAATACTAGGGGGAAAAATGGAGATTCTTTTTTGTGGTCTTAAGTCAGAAAAATTGATTTAAATGTGATACAAAATTCAAAAGCTTTAAAAGTAAAGATTGATGAGTTTATATATTAAAATTCAGAAGTTCAGCCTAAAAAAAAAAATAATGTATATAAGGTCACTAGTTAAATGAGGAATCCTAAAAATACTGTTATGATGAATTAGTTTACTTAAATATGAACAGCATTTACAGATCAACATGGAAAAGTTTAACATTTTAGTTGGTCAGTGGGAACATGAGGTAAAGAATTTAAAGACTTCAGCAAAAAGGAAATAAATATCATTCTTTTGTGTGTGTGTGTCTTTTTTTAATGATATTTTTAAATTTAAATTCAATTAGCCAACATAGTAGTACATCATTAGTTTTTGATGAAGTGTTTAGTGATTCATTATTTGCCTATAACACCCAGTGCTCCTCACATCACATGCCCTCCTTAATGCCCATCACCCAGTTACCCATCTCCCTACCCATCTCCCTTTCCACAACCCTCAGTTTGTTTCCCAGAGTCAAGAATCTCTCATGGTTTGCCTCCCTCTCTGATTTCTCCCCATTCAGTTTTCCCCTTCCTTCCCCTATGATCCTCTGTGCTATTTCTTATATTCCACGTATGAGTGAAACCATATGATAATTGTCTTTCTCTGACTGACTTATTTCACTTAGCATAATACCCTCCAATTCCTTCCATATCAATGTTACCGGTAGGTATTTATCCTTTCTAATGGCTGAGTAATACTCCATTGTATATATACACCACATCTTCTTTATCCATTCATCTGTTGAAGGACATCTCTGCTCCTTCCACAGTTTGGGTATTGTGGACATTGCTTCTGTGAACATTGCTTCTGTGAACACTGGGGCACATGTGCCCCTTCTTCTCACTACATCTGTATCTTTGGGGTAAATACCCAGTATTGCAATTGCTGGGTTGTAGGGTAGCTCTATTTTTAGCTTCTTGAGAAACCTCCATACTGTTTTCCAGAGTGGCTGTACCATCTTGCATTCCCACCAAAAATGCAAGAGGTTTCCCCTTTCTCCACATCCTTCCCAACATTTGTTGTTCCCTGTCTTGTTAATTTTAGTCATTCCAACTGGTATAAGGTAGTATCTCATTGTGGTTTTGATTTGTATCTCCCTGATACAAATGTGATGTGGAGAATAAATATCATTCTTAAACATAGGACAAGATACCACGCTTATAGGAATGTTAGTTAAAATGATAACAATGTGTCATCGTCCACCCATCTGATTAGCAAAAATTCGTGTTTAATAGCAAATGGTGTTATAGCATGTGGTTAGGAAGATGTTTTCCATTTCTTGTATATTGTTGATTTTTTGCCTGTGGATCATACTTCCCTGTTTCTTTGTATGGTTAGTTATTTTGCTTGAAAGATGAACATTGTGAATAATACATTGAAGAGACTTATGAAGAGTGTTGATTTTCATTTTAGCAGGCAGTTCAATTATTGGCTGATTATTTTGAGCTTGGTTTGTCTTTTTAAGGGAGGCTCTGTGGAAAGTCTTTGGTGTTTCCTATACTGCTGTAACTCTATGGGACTCATTCTCCAAATTGTCTCTCCAGAGGATCTTGTCAGAGCTTGGATTGCAATGAGTCCAAAGCAGGTCTTACTCTCGGCGTAATCCTTATTCCTAAAGATTAGCCTTTTTGGTGTCTCAGGCATATGTCAAGGTAGGTGTTAAAGAGAGGTCTCCACTGTAGCAGGGCTGAAAATCCAGTATTGATTGGCAGTGCGTTTCTTCAGCACTTCTTGATTCTGTTTCATACTCAATTCTGTAACAGTTGGTTGTTAAGTGGTAAGCCTTAGGTGGTCTTGCCCAACACATGTACAGCATGGTCTTCAGTGACTGTCCATGTTTTGCTGAATTCCACAGAGACACTTTCATTTACTGTAGACCTGTGAAGACTGGAACAGTTTTATGTGAAGTCGTTCTGCCGGCCTTGCATCCCATCTAAGAAATATTCTTAAATTCTCAAGCATATTTGTCTTATGTTACCTGGGTAAATGCCATCTTTTCTTCAAAGCTTTTTGTAACTTTGGGTAATTTCAATACTTTACTTGAAAATAACTTATTTCCTTGCACATTAAATAAGTAGAACTTTGTTCATTTATGTATATTTAATATAGATTCCTAGCAAAACTGTAAGTGACATTTAGAGCATGGTTTCAGTTCACTACTTCCCCATTATTTTGTCAAGACCAGTGACTTGCTACTTCTCAATCTATAAGCACTATGTCAGTAGTGATGCTCTGGAGGGTTTGTCTGGGAATAAATTTTCTTTTAGTTATTTTGGAAACCATAGAATTTGAGAGCTGAAGAAACCATCTAGACCATTTGGTTCAGCCTTTTTATTATTACTTATGAGGGAATTAGTGCCCAGATGGCTTATTAAATCACTTGCCCAAGGTTATACAGCTTGTTAGTAAAAGAGAAAGGCTTATTATCTAAGTGTCAGTGTAAATTCATATTGTTTTTCCTATCTCTGGATATAAGCGATTCTCTGTTCTCTGAGCCTTTTTTTTCTCAGTAATTCCAGAACAATAGAAGTAGATGTAGAAAAGTTACTGTCAGAGTGGTGTTGAAGGGTGAAGAACCATTTATATTCTTCCCTTTATTCGACCTTCATTTCTGTGCTGGGCGGCATTTCATACTGTGAAGGTACGATGATCCAAACTGTAGTTTAAACTAGGTTTTATTGAATAAAAGGGATTTGCTCCTGGCAGCTGTGGGGAATGTCTTCATTTGCAGGCTCAGGCTCATTTCTCAGGTGCAGGACAAATCATTAGTCTCTTTTCTTCCTTCTAGCAGACTTTAGGGTCTCCACCTTTGTTCTTTTCCTCTCATTTACTACTGTCATCAGGCTAACCCATGCTAGTCATTATTAGCTGAGTCAGCCTTCAGAGTTGAACTTTTGTTTTCCTGGCTTCTTGCCTTTCTTTGTGCTCTCAGAAATAAAGTATGCAGACTCTTTCTCTAATTCAGTAATTTTATTCTGATGGGGGGAGGGAGAAAGATTTTCTAATTAACCTCCACAGCAAACAAGAAAAATTCCAAATCCTAGAAGATATGTTACTACTTCAGTTAGTATGTGTGACATGCAGCTGATTTATTTGTTACAATTATAATTGAGGGCCTACTGGATTTTTTCCACTCATTTAGTCCTTCATTTAGTAATGTCCTAATCAAAGCCACAGGACTTTTACCCTAATATATATACTTTAATTTTTGTGGCTCTGTAGAAAATAAAGGACTCCGCTTTTGATGACTGGAAGAATATTCGAGGACCCAGGCCTTGGGAAGATCCTGACCTCCTCCAAGGACGAAATCCAGAAATTCTTAAGACTAAGACAACTTGATTCAGTTGATTCTTTTCTTTTCTTTTTCTTTAAACAAAAATGTTATCAACTGGAATTCCCACTACATACTCAGGGGGAAGAAAATTTCAGACCTGCAGAAGCTTGGATGTGAGTAATGTGATGACAGATAATCTTGATAAAAAATCACAGTAACATCAGGCAGTGATTTTTTTGTCAATCCTGTGTAGGAAAATAATATCAGTCACAGGTGATGAGAGTTTTGGTTTTACTTATAATACCTCACATGATATACTAATCAGTCTCCAAAGTATATAACTGATGATTGTGTTGATACCATTAAAACATGTTGAGAAAATAATATTGTTCTTGGTTAAGGCAAAGATCATGTAGTAGTACATATTATATACAGATACAACAAATTTGTTCAAGTATTCCAAATTTGTTATCTATGTGACTACAATTTAGAAATACTGCTTTAAAGGTATACTTTATGCCTTAGCATAATTTGCATGCAACTTGACTATAGTTCTGTTCTTTTTCTTTTTTTAACTTGGGGTTTGCTATGATCTAAATGCTAGGCAAAAAGATAGAATTGAGAGAAGTTTTTTTTTTTAGTTTATTTTCTCCTTTTTACCTGTGTCTTAGCCAGCCTGTTACCCCACTCTCTGATTTTTTTTCATACTGAGTTCCAGGTGCCTAAAGTCTCAATTGAAATACTCCCCCTTATGTTTACAAAAAATTGTAAATCTACCTGCCTCTTGCCCAATCAAGATCACTGTTTTCAGTGGGTTAGTTTTAGCAAAAAGAAAATCAAGCTGATTATTTAATGATGATAAATCATGAGACATTAGAGAACAGTTGGATTTCATGGGCCAAAAAAAATAATAGACCTCCACTTAACATTGCTCCATGTACAAAAAGTAACTCAAAATGGATCTAAATGTAAAACTTAAAACTTTTGGGAAAAGAAGAAAGAAAGTCTTCAGGACTTAGTGTATAATTGTTGAAAAATAGTTCTTAACAAAAACATTCATGAAAGAAAAACTTGGTAAATTGAATCTCATCAAAATTAAAAACTTATGTTTTCCAAAGACCCCATTAAAAGTGAAAAGACAATCCAGACTGAGAGAAAATACCTGCAAACCACATTTATGATAAAAGGCTCATATCTAGAATATATGAAGAATTCTGAAAACTCAGTAGTAAAAAAGCAAACAGTCCAATAAGAAAATGGTCAAAAGACACAAAGCAGCATTTCACTGAATATATTCACTATATGAATATGGCAAATAAGCACATGAAGAGAATGGTTAACATCACTAGCCATCAGGGAAATACAAATTTGGACTACCTTGAGAAATCACTACACACTTATTAAAATAGCTGAAATAAAAAAGTGACGATTCCAAATGCTGGTAAGGATGTGGAGAAACTGGACCCCTCACACATTGCTGGTATAATGTAAAATGGTACAACTCATCTAGGAAATTGTTTGACATTTTCTTTAAAAACAGCATGGGGGACTTCAGTTTCTGGTCAAACATTTAGGAACCTTGGAAGTCACACCTCCCATCCTAACACAAAGAAAAAGCTGAAAATCAACAGCTATTCTTTGATCCATGAGAGAATTGAGGACGCAGGACAAAACCACCAACTGAAAACTTGAGACAGACAAATAGAGAGGATCACAGGTTACCTGGAGGAGAACCCACCTGAAAGCCACTGTTGGAGCCAGGATCAGGTAGGAATGCTTGAAGAGTAATTGACTAATTACTGGAGACAGAGCATGGGCAAGCTTGAGTTAAAAACTCCTAGATACCAGGCCAGGGGCATATTTTTGTGAGTTTTAGTTCCTGGAGCCCCACTAGATTCTCACTCTGAATATTAGAAAAATCTTGTGGTTTCAGCAGGGGGGAGGAGAAATGAACCATTCTGAAATATGTCCTCTGAATTTTGTTCTTAACAAAAATCCTAGCCTCAAAGGAAACTTTTTGCTGGAGACTAATCACACTGGATTTTGCCAGAGCTTAACCAACTCTAGGGTAAGAGAACTACCCAATTTAGTCCCTTCTAGCCTCCTGTTTCACCTAAATGGGTTGGGGGTGTGGGGAGGAAACCTGGAGAGGTAGTAGTGAAAGTCATGTGGGACCATGATCACTAAAAGACTAAGACCTAATCATAAAACCATAGAATGTTCCCTTCCCCCTTCACAATACTACCAATTCACTGAAGTCTATTCAGTGGAGTTTCTTTTCCCCAATCCAGCTGAGTATTATGTCCAACTTTGAAAAGAGAAATTACAGTGCATATTAAAATACAAAAAGCACAGCCTGAAAAGACCAAGCATCAAAATCAGATTCATATATGGCAAGGAAGTTGGACTCACCAGACTGAGAATTTAAAATAACTATAAGTAATATGTTTAGAGCTCTGATGGAAAAAGTACACAACACGAAAGAACAGATGGGTAATATAAGCAGAGAGATGGGAATTTTAAGAGTCAAAGAGAAATTCTAGAAGTCAGAGACAGTGTAATAGAAATGCCTTTGATGGGGTCATCAATAGAATGGACATGACTGCCAGATGGTAATTTAAAGACAAGGAGCACCAATAAAGGTATTTAAGTAATTATTTTTTTTAAATCACAATTACATTTTTTCCTTTCTGAATTCATTTAAGAACAAATAAAACACTTTCTATAAAATGTATTTTGAGGTCTACATATAGAAATGTAATATATTAGGCAATAATAGAACAAAAAAAGGGGGTGGGAATGAAGCTTTATTGGAGCAAGGAAATAACACCAGATGATAATTGAATCCACAGGAAGCAAAGAAGAGAACCAAACTTGATAAATAAGAAGGTTAACATTTAAAAGCTTATAAATAATTAAACAACTTCTTTAGAGGTAGTTGGGTGGCTCATTTGGTTAAGATCCGATTCTTGATTTCGGTTCAGGTCGTTATCTCATGATTGTGAGATCGAGCCCTGCGTTGGGTTCTGTGCACAGTTAGGAGTTTGCTGGAAATTCTCTCTCTCCCTTTGCCACTCCCCGCCCAACTCATGCACATGTGCATGCATGTGTTCTCTCTCAGTCTCCCTCTCTAATAAATAAATCTTTAAAAAACACTTCTTTGAAACACATAGAAAAACATAAGTCAATAATTATAAGATGTTTGTTGGGCTTGTGACATGCATAGATGTAATATGTATAACAATAATAGCACAAAAAAGTAAAGAAAGATCAAGCCAAATAGGAAGAAAATTTGTCTATCTTATTGATACTGAGTTAGTACAAATCTGAAGTAGATCTTGGTAAATAATATATATTGTAAGCCTTAGAGTAAGCTTTAAGAAAATCACTCAAAAAATGTAGTTAAGGGGTGCCTGGGTGGCTCAGTGTGTTAAAGCCTCTGCCTTCGGCTCAGGTCATGATCCCAGGGTCCTGGGATCGAGCCCCACATGGGGCTCTCTGCTTGGCAGGGAGCCTGCTTCCCTTCCTCTCTCTCTCTGCATGCCTCTCTGCCTACTTGTGATCTCTGTCAAATAAATAAATTAAAAAAAAATTTTTTTTAATGTAGTTAAAAATCATGGGATGCCTGGGTAGTTCTGTCATTGGACATCTGCCTTCACCTCGGGTTGTGGTCCTGTGGTCCTGGGATCAGCCCCAAGTTGGGCTCCCTGCTCAGCAGGGGGCCTGTTTCTCCCTCTGCCTGCTGCTCCCCCTGCTTGTGCTCTCTCTTTTTGCCAAATAAATAATAAAAATAATAAAGTAGTTAAAAATCATAAAAGGAATTAAATGTTACACTATAAAATATCCTTTTAATACAAAACAAGGCAGTTAAGGACTAGAGAAAAATACAAAAGATGTAGAAAATAGTAAAAATAGCAGATGGCAGTCGTACTTAGCAGCTTACATTAAATATAAAAGAATTATATTCACTAATTAAAAGGCAGAGATTGACAGGATGGATAAAAACCACAATCCAACTATATGCTCTCTATAAGAGGCTCACTTTAGGTTCAAAGGCATTAAGTTCAAAGTATAAGGATGGAAAAATTGACACCGTGCAAATGGTAACCGTATCAGAGAAAGTATACTTTGAGGCAAAAAATTATTATAAGAGACAAAGAGGAAACTTTTATAATGATAAATGGTCAATAGGCAAGAAAACATAACTTATAAAAACATATACAACCAACAACACAGACCAATAATACAAAAAGCAAAAACGTAGAAAAAGGCAATTTTAAAATAATAGTAGGAGACTTCAATATCCAACTTTTAATTATGAATAGAAAAAGTAGGCATAGGAGACTTCAATACCCAACTTTTAATAATGACTAGAACAAGTAGGTGAAAGATCATCTACTTAGGTAAACAAAAGACTTGAACAACACTGTAAACAAACTAGACCTGACCTCTGTGGATTACCCAACAACAGCAGAAGACACATCCTTCTCAAGTGTACATGGAACATTCTCCAGGGTAGACCTTATGTAAGGTCATAAAACAAGCCTCAAGAAAACTTAAAAGGATTTCAATCATACTAATATCAAACATGTTCTAGGACTGTAAGAAATCAACTATAGAGGAAATTTTGGAAACTTATAAGTACATGAAAACAAAATGTAATTGAATGTCCAGCTGGTCAGAAGAGAAATCAAAAGCATAATAAATACTTTGAGATGAATCAAAATGAAGATACAACATACCAAAACTATGGGATGCATCAAAACAGTACTTAGTTGGAAATATGTAGCCATAAACACCTATATTAAGAAAAGATCTCGGAGTTCCTGGGTGGCTCAGTCGTTAAGCGTCTGCCTTCTGCTTGGGATCCCAGGGTCCTGGGATCAAGCCCTGCATCGGGCTCCCTGCTCGGCGGAAAGCCTTCCTCTCCTTCTCCTACTTCCCCCACGCACCCCACTTGTGTTCCTTCTCTCTGTCAAATAAATAGAGTCTTAAAAAAAAAAAAAAGATCTCGTTAGTGACTTAACCTTTCACTTTAATGCACTTGAAGAAGAAAGCAAACAAAACCTAAAGCAGACAGAAGAAAGTAAATAAAGATTAAAACAGAAATTTCAAATGAAGGAGAATAGAAACACAATAGAGAAATCAGTGAAATTGGAGGTTCTTTTTTTTTTTTAAAAGATCAACAAAATTGACAAGCCAATAGCTAGATTGACTAAAATTTAAAAAGAAGGGAAATCATTAAAATCAGGAATGAGAGAGGGGACTTTACTAGCAAACTTAGAGCAATTAAACTATAATGGAATGCTGTAGACAATTCTATGCCAATAAATTACATAATTTAGATTAAATAAATTCTAAAAGACAACTACCTAGAAAGACAAACTACCAAAACTGATTCAAGAAGGAATATTAATCTGAATAGACCTATAAGAAGAAATTGAATTATACCCACCCACTCACACACACACACACACACACACACACACACATACACACAGCACAGACCCAGACAGCTTTGTTGTGATTTCTACCAAATATTCAAAAGAAGAATTAATACCAAATCTTTACACACATTTCCAAAAAGGTAGAAAAGAATGGAACACTTATCAACTCATTCTATGAGG